CGGGCTGCCAAAGTCTGTGTTTGCCTATGTGTGAAGCAGCTTACTCCCCTTTGTGAGAGCATTGAACTGTTGAGTTGTGGATGCTTACACAGAGCAACGGTGATCACAGATAGTAAGGAGGAACTGATGACATCAGCTGGCACTAGGCTGGCTACGCTTTGACATGCTTAACCAGACCTAAGTTAATTTAGGGGCTGGAGAGAACTTGTAGCTGTATGCAAAATATTCAAACTTTTTTTCCACACAGAAACATTTATTTTGAAAAGCCAAAACTGAAGCTACTTTAGATGAAGAAACAACTAATCCAGATTTTCGTTGAGGAAGGGTGGGTGATCTTATTTGAGACACCTGATAAAATTCAATTTCAGTAAACCAGTTTAACCAGAAGTGTTAGTGGAGATATATATTACCACTGTCTTCCCATGGATCTGGTCTATTTTATTTATCATCTGCATAGCAGAAGTGCTTTGTTGTATTAGAGATAAAAATGCATAATACAGTGCTCTTCCCTGTGCTCCAAAGAAACAAAGAGTCATTATGTTTTCTAGCAAATCTAATTGCATGAAGTATTCCTAACACCATACTCACAATTAATGTTTCCAAAAGAACAGCTAAACTGTAAGACAAGAGCTGATACTAATATACATTGGATTAAATCTAATCAGCGAGTGTAAAGGATGCTCCTCATATAAGAGAACTTAAAACATACTTAAGCTGACATTTTCCCTTCCTCCTCTATTCTGAAAGAACGCTTGGGTCAGTCAAGGATATTCAAATACCCATAACTTTTCCAGGAAATGTTGGAGTATGGTCTATAGGCAAAAGAGAGAGATAGGATTATCTTTGAGCACACACACTTGACCAATGCCAGTGCAAGAAGTGAAAAAAAAAAGGGCCACAAGCAAAGGAATAGAGATCAGATATTTGAGTCATCAGTACAGCAAGATTTCAAACACTCTTTTTGAAATGAATGCAATTGTGATTAAATAAGGTCTTTGTTTTAGGAATTTTTCTAAGGTAAGACACAAGGAAAAAATGCAAATGCTTGATATGGTAACTAGGCTCCTGCCTGTACTTACATAACTGAGAAAAAGAAATAATAAATACTAAAATGAATCATGATAAACACTTTGGTAATAAATTAAATGTGCTAGCAGATAATTTACTGTAACTTACTCATGAAACTGCCTTGTTTTTTCCCCTTTTGGTAACAGACATTAAACTTTACAATATGCAGTACAATTCTTTAACATTTTAGTCATTATGAGCTGAAAATGCAATCCTGTTGTGTTAAACAGACTCTGTGTGTTAGGTGACAGCACCAAATAGTGCTGGCTATCGAAATAGCTGTTCCACAGAAGATGCTCCAGAGGTAGCTGCCTGGCTGCCTAAAACACCGATGGAAGAAATTTATTCCTTTTTTGCAAATTCCAGTTCTAAAAAATACGTGCAATCTTCTATAATTCAGTTAAAAGCCCCGAGACTGAACTATCAAGAGCTGTGCCGGTCAGTTTGTCTCTTCATTGCCTGCCTCTGACCTGTCTGTGCCAGCACTGCTTTGGAGGGGCTGGTGGGGCTTGCGGAAAAGAACGGGTACCACCCCTGGAGGGGCTGTTGTACTGCTGAAGGCATTGAAGATGCATCCACGTTCTCCAGAGTAGATGGAAGCCTGTACTATACACTTGCTGTGATTGGTGTAATGTCTGTTATACAAAGTAGATATATTTCCAGTTAAATGAGCTTATGTAAGTTTACATCATGAGAAAAAAAATATCTCTTATATGGAAAAGGCACGTCAGCTCCCTCACATGGAGGGAGGCTTACGATCCTGGCACAGAGCTGTTGCAGGCAAACCCTGCGTTCCTCCTTACTGGGGCTGAGTGGCTGGAGAGAACCTGAAGGAGAGTCGTGCCAGAAGATCTTCTCAGCAAAGCGGTTTACCTTCCATCTGTGCAGGACGGCAACCTGGGGAAAGCAAGCAGCATGGGGCATCCACAGCTTCTCTAGGCAACCTGTTCCAGTGGTTCACCACCCTCATGGTGAAGAATTTCTTCCTAACATCTAATCTGAATCTGCCCTCTTTCAGCTTGGAGCCATTGCCCCTTGTCCTAGACTATATTTCCTTGTAAAAAGTCCCTCTCCAGCTCTCTTGTGGGCCCCACTCAGGTACTGGAAGGCTGCCGTCAGGTCTCCCCGCAGCCTTCTCTCCTCCAGGCTGAGCAGCCCCAGCTCTCCCAGCCTTTCCTCCCAGCAGAGGGGTTCCAGCCCTCAGATCATTGCTGGGGCCTCCTCTGGCCCC